GAATTCAGGTGCCTTGCTTCTTTTTGTATTTGACTCCCTTTCTTGGTGCACTCTTGGCTAAAGTGAGATGAGAAGAGTTGGTGTTACCTCTGTCTGAGGACTGATCAAGTCACTTCACTCCCTTGTGATGGAGTTTCAGAAAACTTTAGGGTTTGAGTGTTTGGCCTGAAATCCATGTGGTTGGTATTTGGGTTATGTTTGGACTACTGTCATTGCTAATGCACACACGATGTGAATGGTTCCTGTGGGGCAGGAATTGTCAGCACCTTCATGTGAGTCAGCCTCTCCATTTAAACCCCATCTCTCCTTTCTTCCCAGGCACAGCAGGCACCTCTCACCAGGGTCTCACAAGGAAGGTTGTCAGCACCAGGTTATCCAGGATGCTCCTTGTTAATCAGCTTTGGTTTCTCCATCATCGTTTCCACTGGATTAGTTTATTTAGTTCAGGGAGTTTGTGTAACAGGGGTATGATACACACTGTTGATACTTTGGACCCCAGCTTGTTTCAAGACCAAATTACACAGGGATGAGGCTGCTTGCAGTGAGACCATAGCTGAAACATACTTGTCTACCATGATCAGGGTTAGCTTTGGAACAACGACAGCCCATTATGCAGTATTTTCTTACAATGGGCAATCTTAAGTGCTTTGTATGCATTATTCTTAATTGTATTCCCACAATGTGTCCACTGCTTCTGCACTAAAGCAAAACAGCTCCAAAACATAAGTGGCGCTGGAAGTGAGGTTGAGAAAACACTACTGGAACTGGGCAGGGGAGGGTTCCTGCTCTGTTTATTTGTGTTGGGTCTGGGTCACAACCATTGTGACTCTTCAGATTCACTTTTTTCCCCTGTTTCATGCCCAGGCAGAGACTGTGACATTGCACAGAAGGCAAGGCATTTTAAAGAACACATGAACTATAAGTCATAGAACAGTTTGTGTTGGAAGGAACCGTAAAGATCATCTAGTTCCAGTCCCCCTACCATGGACAAACATGTGCATATATTTTTTACCTGTGGAATTGTTTTATTTAGATCACTAGAAGAGAAGTGAAAAAATCCATGCAGTTGTCCTTTGTTATGTTTTGGCTTTACATTTTTCGCCTATGTCAGCCTGGGTAATTGAAATCCTTGAGGCCAATCTTACTTTCAATTCCTCCTTTGCTGTGCAAGTCAGGGATGCTGCAAGAACTCTCTTATCAAACCACTGTTTTAATTTGAATTTCAAATGATGTGGATAAGTTTCTGTTGGACTTGAGTTTAACCAAAGGTTGTTTTCACAAATGGTAGGACCAAGTTAAGCAGCCACAGGGTTTTGGATCCCCTTGCTCCAGCTCTTGGGATGTGCTACTCTCGAAGCCTGGAGTACAGTCTCCCTTGAGTGTGAAACAGGGTGCAGGGCAAAGATTGCCCTGTGACTGCCAGTGTTAATACCAGCCAGAATTGCAGGCCTGGGTGAAATTTCAGCAGCCACCACTGCTCTCAAACCATCCAGTGGTTAGGTCATAAAGCCAGAATTTCAGACAGTAGCTATCTCCTTCATAAAAAAGGCTATGGAAACAGAAGAAACTATTTTCTCAGTTTCCTGTATGCACCTAGTGACATTATTTTAATGGCATGAACTGTACAACACACATTATTCATGTCTGTTTATCTCTCTGAGGTTTGGCCTTCAAATTGTTTCAGTATCTTACGGCTGTACGGATGTACTCACTGTCCAGCACGTCTGAGAAGGAACATAAATCTGCAGTTCACCTTGGCCTGCAGACAGTGTTGGGTTCACTTTCTGCCTGGCTATGTGAATCAGGTATCCCACTCTTCCAGCTGCAAATCAGGCATTGTGATTAATACTCACAATGAAAGAGCTAATTACTACTGGCATGTAGCTGTTTTATGTTTCTCTCTTTTCTGGAAGCCAAATCCAACCATATGGAAAAATGTAGCTTAGACACTATAAATATGATTCCACTTAGACAGTCATCTCTTCTGTTTTCTGTTATCACAGCAGTGTCAGCACAAGCAAAACAATGAAAGTGAAGAGATGCTGTCGCAAATTTTAATACAAGTTTGAGGTCTTGGGACTTTTTTTTTTCTTCTTCAAGGACACTGTGTTAATCTGAAGAAAGAGGGCGTGATTTGTGTTCATTTATGCCTGCCACAATTATTTAAGAAATAGCTTCAGTGATCATACTTGAAGAGCTCTGGTTCTTCTTTAACTATTTCTGGCAGAGCTAGAAAGATATGCTTTGTGCTTTGTATCATGACAACTTGTCTTCTCCAATAAGCCACATTTTAAATTGTGTCAGTACTCTCTACATTCAAAGTAGCTGTCTTCTGTTCATTGCTGTTGGAATGAAGCTGTTGACTGTGTGTCTGTAGTGCAGCCAGCAGCAGCAAGTGAGGATTTCCACAGAAAGTGAAGGCTGTAGCAGCAAATGGCAGATGGGCACCAGACAGTGATTGAATCCAAATAGCTAGGAATCTTGGGGCAGAGCCACTTCTGATTTTCATATTGATCTTTATAGAAGCTACCAAATAAAAAAAACATCTGCATTGGAGAACCCATTCACAAGGCTGGTGTTCTAGTATCAGCCACTGAAACTTTACTGACATGGGAAAAGCACAGGCAAGTTAAATAAAAGGAGGAGGAGTAGGAATATCTCTTATCATACTCTGAATCTCTGTGAGATTGTTGTAAAGCAGAGACTGTCTTCTGAGAACAGTAAAGAGTTCTCCCCAAAGCCACTTCTTTGTGTTGGGTTTTTAGACTATTTTTAAACTATTTTGTCAAGCATTCATGGGCTGGATTAGCAAATATGACTTTACTGAAAGAGGGAGATGTCAAGGATGGGTTTCCAAAACACTGTGTCGAAGGAGTTTAGGTGAGGAGCAAGAGCGAAAGGTCTTTGTGCTTCTGCTTCCCATGAAATCTAAAGGAGAGCATCCTGCCATGGTTTAGGGTTCTAGGGGAGTGAAAAAATCTGGAAAGAAATAGAAAAATACCTGCTGCGATGGAGGCAGGGGAGCCCTTCCTTTCCTTTCCTTTTCTTTACTGTTGCAGTCTTGCCTTGCAATGGATGTCTCAAATAGCTTTTCATTGATCTTTTGAAGTAGTTGACTTTCTCTTCCATAAGAGTATTTTCTTTGGAGATGCCTCATTTTGTTTGTGAAAAGTTTCGGAAATAACTTCTGTTACAGCTATTCCTATCCAAGCCTTAAAGCATATACATAACCCTTACACAGTTGCATCAATATGACAGAGTTTGGTTTGGGTATGTTTCCCCACTTTAAGATAAAAGTTGTCAGAAGTAAGAATGAAGTAAACTATGGTAAACCATAATCTAGTGCTAAAAAAAGGTTCTAATTCAATTGTCTCATCAAAAGCTAGTATCATGATAGAAATTAAACCACTGCTCTGAAGCTGAGAACTCTATGACATCTCATATCATCTTTCTGTCTCAAGAGCTGCTTCCATAATCATTTCTATTCCAAGTCTTCTGTTCAGTGTACTACTTCTTTTGACACTTAACCCACTAGCGTTGTGTACTGTATGTATTATGCATTGCCTTTTGTGCATGCCATATATTACAAAGAGCTTTCTATCCCTAAGGGTTTCTGCAGCTATTTCTGTGAGTTTGTCCTACAGGGCACTTTCATGAAAGTCATCAGTTAGCCTTCGCTGTGAAGAAAGGGATAATAGTAACTGAAAGTAGGCCAAGCTCATTAGATTATGATTAAAAGGCAGATTATTTTTTTTTGTGCACTGAATGTGGTTCCAGTGGGTGCGCACTGGGCAGAAGTGGTGCTGGTGAAGTCACAGGTGCTGCATCCTTGGTCAGTCTGTATTTTCAGTTATTTTATAGCTTTAATTGAATACTGACTCATGAACATGACAGTGACCTTTAATTTCATTCAAGTGACTTTCTTTCATGAGTCTTGAAAAAGAAATGCCATGTATGGTCCTGCCTTTGCTGTCTAGGATGAATCTAAAGCAGACAGTTGGAAGCATAACTAAGTTTGTTTCAAAGCAGGCTTATAATTTGCCCCTTATAATGCTGTGTCTTCAGCTCATTTGGGAGCATGTGTTTCTCCACTAGAAACAGGGGATTTTCCCCCAGAAGTAGTTTAGAACCTGCCTTGAGGTCCCCAAGCTGGTGAAGTCCCAGGCTGGCCCAAGGACCTTGGCATGAGGACCTGGTCCCAGCCCATTGGTGGGAGCTGTGTACTCCCTGCTTGACTCTGGTGAGGCTGCAGGGTCCGTGGGACCCCCTGTCCCCCCTTTCACCTCTTCCTCTGTCAAGGCAATGACCTGCCTATTTTAGTGTCTCAACTGAGCTGGAATAGCAGGGTTGGCAACTTCATCTCTGTGGCTGAATTTGAAAACAATTCATGAGATGCAGTTCAAGTAGTAAATCGTCTGTACAGGCGCTGTGTGGGGCCTGGGTTCCTGCAGCCCACGGGTGCTCAGCTCCCATCTGCAGCCCTCTCTTTACTGTTTGCTCTGGTCTCTTCAGACACAGTGCAGTGCTCCACATGTGGCCGCCTTGGTGGCTGGGAGAGTTTTTCAGGAGGCGGGACTGGGTAAGGTACGTTTTATTTCACTAGCAAACCCAGAAAAGCTGTCAGGCCTCACCCTCCTCTCCTTTGTCAATCAGAAGCAAGTAGGAAATTACAGATTGTAGCCTCTGTCTTAATTAGCGTCCTGCTATTCTTGTCCTCTTGCATCCACAGTAACTATTTATACACATAAGACTACACACAAGCCTGAGGCTCCCTATTTTTCCTTGACCAGCAGTACTCTTCCTATGTAAGGTGGTAACTCACCTCTTTTGAAACACACACTGGCATTTTTCTCTCTTGTTAATCATCCATATTTCACTGGTCACCATGATCATCACAGGTTGTACTCCAAGTGATACCTTGGAACCAGATAATTTCCATGAGTATGCAGTATTTAAACACAACTTGCTATCATGTCTCTCTTTCCCTCCTTTCTTCTTAGATGTAAAGGAGCATCCCACTATGGCCTTACCAAGGAACGGAAGAGGCGTTCCCAGGACTGCTCTCCGGACCACGGCTCCAGCTTAGCGGTAGCTGCCCTGGGCCCTGAGCTCTCAGCAGCTGCGGCCATCGCCTTAATGACAGATGAGCCAGGGCTGGTGAACCCAGCCTTCAGCCCCACCTCAGAGGACAGCCAGCTGGGGAGCAGCCCCGGAGACCTGCACCGCAGCAACCGGAACAGAAGTAAGAGCCAACAACGGTGGCTTTGGAGCCTGGTAGCCCCTCGGAATATTTGTTTTTCTGTTAAATATATGTCACTGGAGGATTAAAAAAATATAAATAAAGAAAAAGAGGTGGGGGAAGTGAATGCTTTCATTTTACATGGTTTATCAAATTGTGCACTCGGTGACCCAATGGATTTGAGGTGAAAAAAAATGGCTTGGCCAGGGGCAGAATCAAGCTGAAGATGGACTAGCTGCACACTTGTAAACTGAAAATCTTTAGAAAGATTTTTTAGGTAAGTCAGCTCAGTTGGAAGACTAAATGTTATGTGTGATGGGCTGGGGAGATGGTGTAGCTGGGTAATGTCTCCACTAAAACTTGGTGGCCCAAGTAACCCCCACAGACATGGGCACCTACCCAAAATCCTGTTTTGCATTTGCCAAGTATTTTCAGAAAAAAAAAATCCTTAAGAATTTCCTTAGGAGCTTGGGAGACATCTGCCAGCTTCTTGGGAAGGTACAGTTTGGAGGAACTGGTCCTGCTGAAATAGCAACAGTCAGGGACAAGCTGCATCAGGAAACTTTGCCTTGATCTTTCACCTTGTGACACTGCACCTGTCTCTGATGAGTGTCATGTGTGAAAAACATGGCCTGGCCAAAGCCAGAGTCAGAAGTGTTTATGGTGAGTTCAAAGCATGTATTTGAGGATTCTGAAGCTAAAATGGAAAGCCCACCTTGTGTGCCGCCAGTTGCATGTTGGGAAAAGGGATGAAGGGATAAAGAAAGTCTAGGAAATGAGAAGCATTATCCTTTTGTTGTGCCAGGGTTTAGAGAGGTGAGGAAAGGAAGGGTGCAAGAAGAGAGCACCAGAATCTCAATAAATTCTGTCAGTTTTATTGAGTGTAGAGACCACAGTCTGGTTTGAGGGAATGTTGTATTATTAGATTACAATATTTGGCTAGCATGCAGAGCTGGAACAGACAGAACAGCAACAGCCATGAAGATATCTTTAGCAGGATGGAAAAGAGTGACTTTTTTGAAAGTATTATGACTTTTGTTTTGTATTGCCGTACCTGAGTCAGAATATGTGAATTCTTTGATCCCTCCCACCTGATAATATTGGAATTTTTTTACATTAAATAGTTGGCAATTATTTGTGGCTTTAGAAGCATTGCAAGATTTTGAGGCAGTAGTGGGGATTTTTTTCAAGAAATTTTTAATGACTTGCAGCTTTTTTTGGTCAAACATGTGTAGCTTAGGAAGGGTGGTGCTTCTTCCTTTTATATGTATTTTTCACAGAATTGCTGCTGATTCTGTCTTATGGAGGACTATTCTTTCCAAGGCTACCACACTCACAGGAGATTTCTCCATGTGGTTGGCAAAACACACAGGAAGGTGGCAATTTGAGGGTGTGGGGCTGAGTAGGGTGATTGTACCCAGATTCAGGTGGGTGCAGCCTTGAAGTATCAGCAGGACTCAGGGGAAAAGGTGAAGTACTGGCAGCCCTGACATTGATGTTACATCCCATCACATGCCAAAGGCTGCATAAATGCTGCGGTCCTAGACCAGAACTGCTGAACTGTATTGATTTGGTTTCTTCCTGCTATTGCAGCTCGACACTTTGAACGTTCCACTATAAGAAGCAGATCTTTTAAAAAAATAAACAAGGCATTCAGTGTTCTTCGAAGGACAAAAAGTGGAAGTGCCGTTTCCAACCAGACTGACCGGGAGAGGGAGACTGTTGGAAACTCTGCTACTGGAGAGGAAGGTAATGTTTTGTTCATCTTGTGTTATCGCTTAAAATGGGGTAGGGGGCTCTATCCACGTGGAAACTGGATATCCATAACTGACGTGCCTTTCATCTGGTGGGCTGTGCATGATTAAAACAAACAGACCAGAAAACGCAATCTTTCCTTATTTTCTTCTTTCAAAAGATGTTACTGACTGGCAGGCAAAAGTGTTGCTGGGGTGTGAGGGATCTCACTTAGGGCTGTTCTGGTAACAGCCTGCATGCTATAGCCAGCCCTGTATCTAGCCCACGGGATGTGGGATCTGGGCATCTGGGATCTATTACTGGAGCTGTCATTGATTTGCTCTGTAATTTTGTTCAAGTCTCTTCATTGGCATGTGCCTGTGCCTCTAAAGCAAATGGATAACAATAATCATACTTTAGAGGAACTTAATGAGTTTTGGCTAATGTTTATGAAGCACTGGAAATTCCCAATGGGAGTATGGTATGAAAGTGCAAAGTACTGTAATTATTCCAGCATTTCTGTGGGCTCCTTTATTACCTCAACCAGGCAGGTGATGAAGAATGCTGTGCTCTTAAACAGCAGGGAGAGGCAAGTTTTTTCTGATGTATGTCAGGGATGAGGGGTCTGGCAGGTAGTAACACTTAACATTTGGCATTCTCAAAGCAATAAGCAAATGTTACTAATCGGTTTGGACCATAATTATGAAACCAACAGTGGCATTCATGCATCAAGAGGAAGTGATGATAGAGTGGGAATCAATGTCTCAATCAAGGTCTTCACTAAGCTTATTATTATTCCTTTGCTTGATGCCTCATGTCTCTTCCCAGATCAAATGTTCAGGATGCAGGCTTTAAGAATACAAAAGTTCCAACTTCTTTTTGCTCTGTATTCAAGTTCTCATTGAAACACGCATAAAATAAGCACAAAAGGCTGCCAAATGCTACTTTCAGGCATCATTGTGATGCCATTGTGAATAGTGGTGAATCAGAGAACCATGTTCAATATTCTGCTTTATTTGCTTATACCTTCAGGAGAGTTTCACTATGTTACTCTGTTCTTGGTACTTATTCTCCTACTTCACATATTTGCTGATGGAGCTGAAAAAAAACCTGGTAATTCAAAATCGTGAACCTTTTCCATAAAAGGAATGTGAATATACTCCTTGATCTGGAAACATAATGAATAATTGTACTATATTTTAAATAATTTTAAATAATTTTAATTATTAAAAATAATATTTTATTATTTTTCTGCAAGTGAAATTCTGCGTGTAAATTGTTTATATCTCTGTTTGAGCAGGCAGATATATTTCTCATTCCATAGCAACTCTTCAATCCACTGTAAGCAAAAGCTTGCCATTTTTTAGAATGAGTGAAATGCTTCATGCTTCAAGTTTATATTTTTCAAAAGACATCTCTTCAGGTTGAATATCAGACCACTTTCTACCTAGATATATAGCTGAGATTAGTAATAGTTCCACAGAAAACTTGGCTTCATGTCCAGAGTCTGCGGATGATCTGGATGTCAACAGCACCTATCAAGTAGCCCAGTGCAATCCAGATGTTAACAGAAAAGTGTGAAGATGACACTGATCTTCACATTTCCAGCAAATGAAAAGCATTGTTGTCTCTATAAGGGATGTATAATGGCAATCACTCCAGGGCCCCACTGACAGTGTCAGGATTGTCGTTCTCTCCTTGGCTCTGCTTGTGGTTTCATTCCTCTGCACCAAGCATGCCTGTAAACTTCCAAATGTATTCTGCTGCACTGGAAAAACCAGGTAGGCATGTAATTACTTAATAAGCAGTTACTCTTAAGCATGAGATCACAGAAGCTGGGTACCTAAATTACTTTATTAATTACATTTTCAAAGAACGCATTTTGATTACACAGTTCTGGAATTTGGTCTTTAAAAATATGCAACCAAGTAACTTGAAGCAATACAAATGCAACTTAAACAAAGATTTCTGTTCAGCCCTTTGTAACAGGTGCTTTGTGTATGGCAGCTCAAATGCTTTCTCAGTTTCTTCTTCTTGGAGGAAGAAATGAATGTACTTCTTTTTGTAGAAATTATCATCATTCTGCCAGCTGGGGGTTGGTTTTCTTCCCCAGTTGTGTATGTTTTCTTCTTTTATTTATTTTTTCTAAACCTCAGCTGCTCTGAGCAATCTGCAGCTAGCATTCTGATTAGAGCTGTTGGTCAGTCTTTAGGAATAGCTGTCGTATGCACTGCCCTGTGCTCACTAAAAGTCTTGTCTATTGAAGAAAAGGGAGCCCTGCATGTCTGTCTTACCACTGCCACTCTCCAGGGAATGGGGTTGCAGCTGTGGGGTGAATGATATAGCTCCTGACTTCAGAGGTCCCCACGCACAGTGGGAAAGCTGCTGCTGCTGCTGCTTTGCCCAGCGTTTCACAGGTTTGGGTCTGGGACTGTCTGAGAACACAACTCAGCCATGATTCATTGCCCCAGGAGATCAGACAGCACCTCACCAACTCTCTGGTGACCGCTTTCCTCGCCAGGTATAGTCAGTGCATGAGAGGAATAAAGCTGAGACTATACCAGCCTCACTATGAGGACAGAGTGATATAAGCCCCTTCTTGATGATAACCTCTTCTTAATAAAGGAGAGGTAAGATCATCTAGCAAAGCTCAATGTATAATTCATCTGACTCCAGTTTCCAGAATGCCCCATCTTAATTCACATGTCTCTGTTTAATATGTTTTGCCTGTATTTTGGTCAAAGGAGCTCTGAGAATGAACACCATAACAAGTAGCCATGTATTAGCCGTCAGCAACCCTTCATGCAGAATGTGTAGGTGCCTTTAATCTGAAGCTGCTCTGTTTGTTGAGTCAGTGCTCAGTTGCAATATGACTGTGAGAGAACAAGACAAAATAATAGTTTCTGATGAGGGAGAAAAAACATTCCAATTCTTAACTTGAAGCTGAATCTAGTACTGGTTTTGGAAAATTCTTTGACTCTCAAGGACATTGTGAAATATGATGTACAATATCAAACGTGTTTCTGTTATAATTACAGTAGAGAAATAGTTACAGTCTAATGCTGTCTTACACCTGGAGCTGGAAGCCATCCTGAACTGTGGAGATTACTTCACAATTTATGCTTATATCCTGTGCTTTGATTTGTCTAAACAATATTTTAAGTTCTCAATTTGGATTTAAATGATTCAGGCTTTCTTTGTTTCTCTGTTTTTGTGACATTTTCAGTAGAGAATTGTTAAATGTCCAAATCAAAGGAAATGTTAGAGGTGAATGAAAAGTACACACACTAATGAGAAAATATTTTGGGGGAAAGAACTGTTAAGATTTTCTCATTTTTAATTCTTTGTTATTTGTAAAATCCCATGCAAAGAAATATTTGTCTGTAGGCAGTACCCAAGCTTGTGACATTTATCTGAGAGCAATTTCATTAACAGTATTTACAGCTACAAATAGCTTTCCAGGTCTAAAGTAGAAGTTTAGAAAGTTCAAAAAGTCTAAAAGAATGAAATCTTCATTATGAGATGTGAGGGAAGGCGACAGGGACATGCTTATGGCACTGATGCATTTAAGATGTAATATCTTCTGACGAGATCTACTAGTGTAAGTGACCTTGACAATCTACCTAAATGATAAAATATCTCCAAGCAAAGACTGCTCCAGCTTTGTTATTCTTATTTGTATCACCATGCTCTTAGTTTGGCTTTACACTTTAAATTCAGTTCCAATAAAGAATATATATATATATATATATATGTATGTATGTATAATATATACTCTTTGCTCAAACTGATCTACAAATACGAGTTGTAAATCAGGTAATGATTTAGGAGGAAAGAATTTGCAGGTACAATTGAAAAGACCTCCATGCAGTTTTAGAGTAAAAGAGCTGTGGTTTTGACTTTCAAAAACATTCATTAATTTCATTTTGCAATCAAGCCATTGTAAAAGAAACTTAATTTAGGATTGCTTGGGGATGGCAAATATTTTTCAAAGTCAAACTCAACCTCATAGTGGATGCAGTTCTACCATCTGTTATTGCTTTGCAGCAGTCAAGCAGGCACTGGCAGAACCACAGAACAGGCATCCCTCTTGTACTGCTCAGTGTGAACCCTGCTGTATTTTTGATATATAGATAGATAGATAGATATTATAAATACTTCAGTGTTTGGAAAAGTACATGAGAAAAAAGAATGTAAGTGAAACACAAATGGTATCAATCATTTAATGGTATTAACGCTTTCTATATGCAAACAAAAAAGTGGCTTATCCAGCCCCAGGAGAAGACACTACAGCCCATCTTCTGTCTCAGGAAGGCTGCACTCCACAGAAATCCTGCACTATTCCGTATTTTCTCATATTTGATTCAGTTGCCATTCTGATTTCCCAAAACAGCTGTTACAGAACTTGTTCAAAGTACTCTGCTCTGGAATGATAAGCCAGGAAATTTCCCAAAGGAGACTGTCTCTGTAGCATTTCCTCTACTGCAGAGTGATAAATTTGCCTGCTGTAAATAAAAGTCAGAATTCTTCAGAGACACAGTCAACTCAGCAACAGTTTCATTTCAGTTCTTTTGAGACTCCTTTGGTGAGAGAAATGTCCAGAAGCAAGAAGAGATATTAGAACTGGCAACACCTTCTACCTGGCAACACCATTCTCCCTTCATTGGAGAAACTTCACTGGAGAGTTAATAGAAGGCATTAAATCAAAGTTATGGCAAACCTCGGGGAGAATGGCATGAAAATGAAAATCTATTGGGAAGGAAAATTTGCAGAATAAAGTTCCCCACCAGTACAAGGGCATGTGACACTCACAGACACATGAATTTTCCAAGACTAGGTTACACAAGCTTAATTTAAATTCTGGTGTCCAGATGCTGGGAAGCATGAGTGTGTGTTCCTGCAGATGGTCCTATTTGTGGGGGTGAGCTGGCACATTAGTCAGGCCGCTTGATGTAAATGAGGACTTGCAACCACAGACACAAGTTTTGTTTACAGTGACCTTTGATTAATCTGGACTCAAGAGTCACAGCAAACATTGCACATTGTCACACTGAATCCTGGGAATGAAGGCAGACCTTACTCTCATGGCAGCAGTGTTGGAAGGAACATGATAAGCAGAAGTCAGCAGAAACCTGAGCACTGAAGGAAAGCTACCATTAAATATTTTATACTGTGGGGAAAAAATAGTAAGCATACTTAAAATTTTGTAATACTCTGTCATGGCTACTATACTAACAAATGCTCAGTTTCCCACATTGTGACAAGATAAGTGTAGTTCATGGTGAAAAACTGGTCTCTCCTATGTTGTTACCATAATGTGACGTATGAAAGTATTGATAAAATTGCACACTAATACTAAGAGAATACTACTTGAGAAAAAAGCCCACACAGTCTTGCTGAATGCAGGTGCACCAATGCACCAACTAATGTAGTAGTCAAGAAATAAAAATAGAGATCCAAAACCACTACATTTCATGGATGTTTCTGCCAGGTTTAACCAAAATGCTTCAAGGTGACATTTTATTATATTGACAGATTCAGAATGCTCCATACAACCCCCCGTGACAAAAACACAACACTCTGTGGGAAAACCTGGAAGAATCACCAAAAACAAGACAGAAAGTTTCCTTCTTTCTAGATTCAGCAGCTCTTCGATATTTAAGGACTGGAAATATAAAATGGTAAAGAAAGGTATGCAATACTCCTGGGTTTTCCTGCTGTGGAAAACCTGACCAAAGAAAATGGAGAATTTTAAATAGGAGTGTAAGGGCTGGAAAATGGAGTCTGTGAAATATAATACTCCAGCCTCACAAAAGAACATATATATGTCTGAAAGGCAGAAGCCCTCAATTCAGTTGGAGTTCCTTCACTTGGGCTCCTGAGGCCCCAGTCATTGTATGCAACAGGATTGCATGCTGAAGCAGGGTCCACCTTTTCTGGGTATGGTCTATACATAAAAAATTCATTTGGAAGACATTGCTTTCTAGACATAGCATCATCATGAAATACGCATGGTAAGTTTTCATCAAACTGCACACAACGTACGCAGACTTTTTGGTGAAAAAGCAACTATGAATTTTCTTATTTTAAAAAATCATGTTTGTGTACTTTATATATTTAGATTGCCACTGATACTTTGCTACTGACTTACTGATAGTTTATCAAAATAGGCATTGGCCTTTTACTTACAACAGTCTAGGTTATTGATAATACAAATGTCCATGCAGATGTCTGGCCTGAAAAGAAGAGGCAAGTCTTCAATTAAGAGAGCAGAAATTAATGGATCATAGAGGAGTTATTTTGGTTGCTTAACCCATCTAAGGAGAAAATATTTCTGTTTATTATGTATATTTGATAAAGAACACAAATCAAATGAAGACAGGAAGTGAGGCAGTACAGCTTGCTAACTATGAAAGAGTGGCATTAGAGACTTGCAGACCAGCAAAAGAAGTGTCTTGGAAAATTTTGGGTTGTTGTAGACTGCATTTTCCAGAAGGAAACTAGACATTAAAAAAATCCTCTAAAAGACTCTGCATAAAGTCATATTGAAAGTCAGCCAAGTAGCACTGTAAGGCTTAACAAACCAGGTAAGGCATTGTTCAAAATGCAAAGAAATCGCTTAATGTTCATACATATGTAAAGATAAGTCTTGTACAAGTGTAGAGACTTGTTTACTGCCATGCTTCCCTGATTTTGCTCTGGGATAATTACAGGTTGAAATAACATGAGAGTGTCAATAGTTTTTCAGTCCACAATTCTCCATGGACGAGAAATGCAACTGGATAATTTCTTTAGAAGAGTTTTTAGAATGAGCTATGGTAAAATGAACATCAGTGTCAAAAAGCATACTTTGTTAGGATGTGAAGGGAGCATCATAATAGAAGTAGGTCTATAATAGCACTGTTTCAGTAGTCTTCAATATATACATGTGTATTAATATATTTGCATGCAGAGAAGATCTAGATGTCCTGATTTTCATTTGTATTTTTACATAGAACTAACCTTACAGCCACACCAAGGGTGTGACATGTGCATGCTCATTCTGATGTGGGGATCAGGCTTTTGTATTGTCTGACTTTAAGCACCCCATGAGATGCCAGAGCTAATTGTCTCTTTTCTTACACAGTAGTGGGGAATGTTTGGAACCTCCAGGGGTGATTTGGCACAGGAATCTCTCTCTTTGGGTGCCTCTGCACTACAAATGAAATCAGAGCAAGTAGATCACCAAACTGTGCATTTGAGGCCTGGATTTAGATCAAGTGAATCCACCCTTAAGGCTAGAGAGAATTGAGCAAATTACAGCCTGAGCAAATAGTGTTTAGAAAATAGAGGAGCATGGGGGAAATGAAGCACCTTCCATTCTTGAGACATTAAAATTGCCTGCAAAACTGAAGTAAACATGTATCAGTACAGAAACTGTAATTACAAGAATAAATGGTTGAGTATTATGTGGGTGAAGGCTGTGCAGTTATCTAGACAGACTTTTACTGCCTGTCAAGTCTGTGTAAAACCACAAAGTCGAAGTCTGTGCCACTGGTAGGTGCTTTTTACAGATGTGGAGGAGGACAGCTTCCCATCCTGAAGAACATATGATCAAAGAAGTGGTAAGGGATGCAACGTGGTGTTTCTCAATATTTTTTTTCCTGTTCTTTCTTTCCCCTTGCTCTCTCTCAAAAGGCTTTGGTGCCTTGTTGGTTTGTTGCCTGCTAATTCTGTAGTATCAAGTATTTATTCTATCTCAGATTCTGATCTATTTAGTTTCATTTTACACTTAACCACTATTCATTAACACTCACTGTACTTTCATTTCTAAAATAGATACTGAAAATATTTTAGCAGTTAATTTTTTGACTTACAGGTTTGTCATATAACCACTGGATTGGACTTACATGCAAAAAGTTTAAATGCTTTCTCTCATCTTTGGGGGATTCAAAATAATTGAAGGCTGCTATGCGTGGGCTGGAAAATTCACTGCTGATTTTACTTCAACTTTGCTCACTGCTGAATATGGATTAAAATTTTGAATTGACCTAGAAGGAAAGAAAGTATTAGTGACATGCTGTGAAATCAGATATGCCAGGTGAAAAGTAGGGTTTGGAAGACAATGCTCTTATCCAGTGCGTTATAAATACAAAAAGGACCCCTGCCCACCATTAGGCCCTCCTCCCCACAGCCAGATTGCCAGGGCCAGCAGAGATCTTTCCCTTCAGGTACTTTGAGCATACTGTGGGTTTAACAGAGTAAATAAATCTTACATCACAGTAAGAGCCACTCATTCCTACTTCCTAGAGTTCAAGCAGTGATGAAAGGAGAGGGATCTAGTAGGGGAACTGCTGTGTGCTTTGGTTTGTCAAAAAAATATTGTCTTTCTGGTAGCTAAAGATAAATAGAAGGCTTCCTTGAATGTCACAAGACAAGAGCCCAGTCCTCCACTGTGACACCAAAAATGGAGAAAACTGGGAAGCCTGGGATGTTACCAGTGAGATAGGGTTTACAACCCAGCACAGCAGGGATGGATGTTTGTTGAGTGCCCATGCCCATCTGTTCTAGGGCCAGCAAGAAACTCTGACCTGGTTCTGAAGTGTCTGTGGTGACCAGAAATGTATTTTATATATATTTCCCTTAAAATACTGACATGTATAACTGTAAATACTTTTCATCTGTCTGGATTGCATCAAAGGTTTAAGGTCATATTTTTTGGGGGAAAAAGGAAGTTTAAATATATCAATTGTAAAAATATCCATTCAAGTCCATTCAGCAAGCTTACCTATCCTTTCCTTCCCACTTGGTATAAATCATATCCATGCATAAAACCTAGCTTGACTAACTGGCAGGTACTTGAGGTTGTGCAGTGCATGTTTTAACAAAAAAAAAAGCTGTGTTGTCAAATAAATACCTTACAATATCCATTTCCAGGTTTTCCCAGGTTGTATCACCTGATTCCAGATGGAGAAATAACCTGTATTAAGATCAGCCGTACTGATCCCCATGAAAATCTGGCCATCAGGATTGTGGGAGGCAGTGAGACCCCTTTGGGTCACATTATTATACAGCATATTTATCGAGATGGGGTAATTGCCAGAGATGGAAGATTGCTGCCTGGAGACATGATACTAAAGGTACGGTACTGTGGAGGTACAAGATAGAAAAAGCCTGATGAAGAATAAGATGGTTTAAGTTGATCATGACGAGATTTGCAATGTTGCATGCAGAAAGACATTCTGAAGTTCAGAGCACAAGCTAATTAAGGAACTATGATTTCCTAGCTTTTGCTGACCTCAGTGTAGCTGAGGACACTTGAGGCATGCCAAGGTTGTGCCATGCCTTCTGCTTGTGGCCAGACAGACTTGGCCAAAGGGATTTCCCAGGATCACAATGTGGGCATACTTCACTCTAGTAGTGAATAAAAATGGTTCTGTATGGCAGCTCCCGGCAGCAACTGGATAAGTATCCACCACCCAAAAATCCATGTGTTCCAGGGAGCCTTTTTGTCCTGGTGCCAGCACCGAGCAGAAGAGTTAATGGCACCGCTAAGACAAAGCTGCTCCTGCAAGGCACATCCAAACTGCACAATGAAGCTGTGACTGTAGAACGGATGGGCCCAGCCTAGCTCTTCCCAGCCGTGTCTGACTGCCCAGGATTTATCAAGCATTCCTGTGAATTTCAGCCCCATCCTGGTGCAGCTCATGCTGCTTGTGGTACCCAAGGTAGCAACTTAAAGCTACATGAGCTGTGTCTCTCTGGGTGCAGTTGTCCCCACCAGACTGCAGCAGAACAACCCCGTTGTGCCCTCACAGGCAATCTGCAAAAGCAAACACCAGCCAAATGCTTTTGTCCATGCTGGGGAGTATTTCTCTTACATTTTGGAGAAGTTTCTTAATACTTAAATGGTTCAACCTGTGCAATGTAAAGCTACATGGAAATAACTTGTCTGACTCAGGATTTCTAGCCAGTGATGAAATACAATCTTGCAACTGGTTTTCATTTAGCAATATAAAGTGCAATGCCTAGTCACTCTTTCATATATGAGCATGATGGGATCGACTGGAAACTCTTTTTTCCTCTTTCTTTTCCTCAGCTAAATTTAAAAAGTGGTCGTTATACAGTTTTACTGTCATCCAAATTAAATCTTACCTGGAAAACACTGAGGAAAAAAATGAAAGTCTGATTCTCTGCTGTGCTAAATCAGCATAATTGTTAGTAAATATCCAGGGCATTTAAACTTCTACTTGAGGCTCTTTCCTTCTTTGTAATTAGAGATTCATAAGTGAAAAGAATTATTTTTTTACTGTACCTAGAACAGCTGGGAGATAAAGAAGAAAAGACACAGCAGGAAAACAGTGGGAGTGAAAGGAAAGGCTGGCAAGGCAATTTGAAATCAGAAGCCTGTGGAATAAAACTAAGATATATGAAAGGATATTCAAGCTTGGGAAAGAGCAATAAGAAAGATGAAAACTAACATGTATGTCTGGAGACTATCAGGGAGAAAGGGGAACAAAAAGGACAAAAGCTGTCTGTGCAGTGCATCCTTTCCTTGGAGGGAAGATTGTTCTGCACTGCAAGAACATTTGGCCTCCTGTGTGACACAGTTTGAAATAGCACATGTCACTTCATATGAAGACATCTGTGTATATAGATCTGCCCTCCTCAGTGCCAGGGCAGAATAGACCATCTTTCAGCTGCTGATTTACACTTCTCTCTTCCAGGTAAATGGCATGGACATCAAAAATGTGCCTCACAACTATGCCCTGTCAATCCTGAAGCAACCTTGCCACGTGCTCCGACTGACAGTGCTCCGAGAGCAGAGGTACCGATGCCGAAACAGCGGACTTTCCCTTGATGCTCACTGCATTAGGGATGACAGCTTCCATGTTGTGCTAAACAAGAGCAGCCCAGATGAGCAGCTGGGAATAAAGCTGGTCCGCAAGGCCGACGAGCCAGGGGTATTTATCTTCAACTTGCTGGAAGGTGGCATGGCTGCCCGTGATGGACAGCTGCAGGAGAACGACCGGGTGCTGGCCATCAATGGGCACGACCATCGCTACGGCAGCCCAGAGAGTGCAGCCCAGCTGATTCAGGTTAGTCACCCCCACTTTAACCACGAGGTCTGAACTGTGCAGAAATCAAGAAGTGTTTTTTCACCATCCATTGCAAAGCAGGGGTCAAATATGGAGTCTCTGTATTTGGAAGAGGGATGGAGTCATGGTCGGGTGGGAAGTTAATCCTCTGAGAGCTCCTTGGCTTTACCATGAGGATGAGTGTGAACATGGGCATGGACTCTCACAGAGGTGCCTGCTACCATCAGGTTTTGGAATGTGAAGATCAATGCAAACATCTGTGTACTCTGATCATCACTGGAGTGATGCCAGCTGCCAGAAGGCATGCCAGCCTGCACCCTGGCAGCACGGGTTCCAGCAGAATCCGACTCCTCGGGCTCAGAAGGTATCACAATGCTCTCTGGTTCAGCCCTGGAGCAAACCAGAGTAGCCTAAGGCAGTAGATGGCATGTTTCAGGATGATCACTCTCCCAGACTCAGTGATTTCCCATGGATGTGGTTTACAACTGAAGGTAGTCCACACCTTATAGATATTTCTTGCCTAAGTCCAGTATATGGAAATCCAGAAGTTTTAGAAAAATGGCTGTAGTTTTTATTAATCTCTCTTCAGACTCATGTGGAGTACTAAATGGGTGCTAACACAGAACTGCCAGATGAAAAAAAAACCCATGCCTTTCTCAGCTACAAAATTGGTCTGCTTCTGCCTAATTTTCCTTTCACAACCAATTTGGGTTTTTTGTTTACAGACTGTTTTTAGAAAACTTCAACATAAAAAGCAAAGCCAAGACTCTTTTGTTGCTTTTATCCTGTATTTATAACCGTTATTATACTTGTGCAATTTTGAATTTCATTTGGAGGCATGTAGAATGTTCCCATATCGAAGGATTTCATGGGTTTCAATAACAAGATGTCAAATGAGGCCAGCTGCTTCTTTCTGACAGGTATAATCAGGGTAATATCAGTCAAACTGAAACAAACAAGTTAAATCCATGCGTTTTGTAGAAAGGATTTCTCGGTTGGTTGGTTGGTTGTAGTTAGATTAGTTGGATAATAGATTGTAGCTAGATACAAACTACATAGATTTGTAGTTAGATAAGTTGGTTGTAGCCAGGTTTTATTGTGAAGTTTATAACATAGGTGAAGAAAATGTCATCCCCTTACATAATGCCAGTTGTTGAAATTCTGGTCCAGCATCTTTCTGGATTACCTTATGTAGCTCACTAACTGGGAACAGAAGTCAGAAGGGGGAAGGTTTAAATTCTCTGAGAGCAACAAGTCTGAAATGAAGAATTTTCTAAAAGAACTATTATTCTTGGAAAAGTTCTTTATAGATACAAAACAAGGCATCAATGTTTTATAAGCAAAAAACACATGAGATGAAGTGGAAAAAATTACTAACATGAGTATTCGCATACAAGCATTCAAAAGCGCAACTAAAGTCCTTATTGGTCTCCAAAAAGTGGATGTTATTTATAATAATGCTTGAAATGCACACCAGTCCCTGGGAATTTAAACAAGTCCATCAAAGGGGGAAACTCAGGTTTCCAAACATCCAGGATTACATTGCATTGATGTGAGCTCTATGAATCATGTTTGTCTAATGCAAAATTCCTGGAACTTGTGTCTTTTTTGTTATGTTTTTCATCAATTATTATTTGCCTTTCCTGTTTCCATGTCATGCCAGAGAAAAACCTTTATACTGAAGCCACAAGTGTTTTACATTTGCTTCTTACACGGAGGGCTATTTCACTGTGTCCTCTGATTTCTCAACAGCATCCTTCCTGCCTGTTGAGAGCTCAGCATGTCACTTGCAATGCACTGAGGCCTTCTAATTTTTGGTGGTGAAAACTACAAATATACCATCAGTTCCTTTAAAAACAGAACATTCATTAAAAGGTGCAGTGACTTCTTATACCAAGCACAGCTGGAAGACTGTCAGATTTTCATGTAATCTGATTATTTTTGACTTTTAAATAATGAATAATGGAGACAAATCTGATTCTTGAGGCCTATAGAAACTATACACTAGCATATGTGAAGCAGTTGCTAATCAGTAGATTAGATGTCTGGTTGTTTATAAGGTCTAAGCTCTGTCACAAGAACTGAAATGAAGAAAATGTCTAAGTGCTAATTAGGAACATGCACACATCATAACACTTGGGAATTTGCCGCCTCCTGTTTGTCACATTATCTTAAGCCATGGCCTTGTGTCAGAAGTGGCACTTTTAATCTAAATAATGAGACATTCCACATCTGTTTTCCATGAGACTGACAAGAAAAGGAGCAAGGTAACAGATATGGGGTGCTCATGTGAGCATATCAAGCTACATGGGTTGAGTCAGACTTTACTGACCCTGGATGTTCACCCTCCTCCTCACCTCCTTCCCCCACCATAGTTTGGAGCAGCTGCTAGGAACAGGTGAGCAGCTCTTCTTCTCAACCACTGCCTCTGACAAGCAGGTTGTGATGTGGAGCATATCTGTGCTCCATCACCCTTGTGAGAGATGGGGCAGATTCTGCCAGGAGCAGCCCTGCTGCCTCTTTCTAAAATGTACTTGCCTACTAGGTGCTCAGAAGTTGCCACTGTATCTCTGCCTTCCTGCTCTATTTGCCTTGGCTGTAACAGATTTTAATTCTTGTTGATTGTTTCAGCTCTTACTTGCATTTAGTATCAAGGCTAACCTCCTTTCTTTAATTTTCACTTCAGCATAAAATACAGAGAAAGAATTGTGGGAAAAGGCACTGGTAAGAGGGAGGGAGAGATCAGAATGAATCAGCTATAAATTATCTGATCAGTAGAAACATTAATGGGTTTTCGTATGTAAATACAAAAGCTGTTCTTGTTGTTTGGATAACTTTCTAAACCACTCTAACTTCTGAGAAACTACTCAGATTGACTGGCCTGTAGACAAATGTGCCATTGCAACAGAGGCTCTTGTTGAACTTTTGCTAGTTGTTCTATGAGAATTAATCATGTTTTACAACCTTTCTTTAAATAACCAGCTTTGAGGCTTACCATGTGGCAGCAGATGAATTTTAAAAAGAAGTTGTGTTAAGTTGAAACCGTTCATTTTAGAGAAAACTGTATTTTCATAGGGCCACATGCCCTTGGGAGGTTTAATCTTATATTGTTCAGTTTCACCTCAGTCATATTACAAACTAGGGACAAAGGTGGTTTCCTTTCTCCCAACATACAGAATTCTGCTTTTGGGTACCAGTTGAGTCCAGAGCCCATGAATTAATATTCAGTAAAAACATATCTGTTAAAAATGCCTAGAAAGTTATTTTGAAATATGTGTATATGCACCAAATTATGTATTATGAATCTAAAGACTTGAGTAAAAAAACCAGCATCTCCCAAGATATTGGGAAAGTAACAAAAATGTGCGCATTTTTTACTTCACTGAAAATAGCGTGGCTTGAACATGTATATTTCAAGCTTGAAGCTGGAGGTTTAGGAGAGGTAGGTTGCTTTGTCTTAACTAAAATTTTTGCAAAGCTTTTTTTAACTCTCAGCTACAGCTATTGAATTCAGCTCCACAAAGGGCAAACCAAGCTATAAAAACAAAATTCCCAGAAGCTTCCTCTGGCTTCTGTTAATTGTCTGTGGGAGATTTGATTTCAACAGCGCAACTGGATCCGGGTTTGGTTTTCAGCTGCGTTTTCAATGTCAGCTTTCCTTGGAGCTTCTCCCCAGCGAGCAGGGCACATCACCGTGGCAGCAAGCAAGCCATGACGTCTGCTGCCCCCGGAGGCTGCGGTACCAAGCATTGCAACTGCAGCCCCAGGGGCATCAGGCCTCCAGATGTGTTTGTGGGGGCCTTCACACTAGATACTGAGCAGTTCCTCCGGTATAACATGAGAGCAAGCGGGCAGGAGTCCCTCTGCAGATTGGTCATTAAGAGCCCCTCCTTCCTGGCACAACAGCAGGGCCTTTAGCCTAGAGAGGAGATTCAATGATTAATTTTTACATCTTCTGAGTATGCTTCCATAGCACTGAGGTTATTTCTACACTATTCTTCATTTCAGTTCAGTATATTGGTTTATGGTGGGCATCTGTGATCTGGCCAGGTAAACCCCACTCCCTCTCAGCTTTATTTTTGTATCACTGTTGTCTTGAACAGATTCATATGAGCCTCACTGAGGGGCAAATGAAGCCATTTGCTTCTAGGGAAACAGTGCTAATTCAATAAGACAGAAAAAACCCCCACCTGTACACAGAATTAACACTAATATCAGGCACACACAAAGAACCCCCTAAAAATAACAAGCAAACATTACCTCAGTAGAAGGTAATTGCAGCATCTCTCAGGCACACAAGTATTCTGACTGCATCGTGAAAAGAGGCCTAGAAGTTCTATGAGCTTGGGTTATTTCCTTTTGAAGCTGCTCTTCCTAGAGTGAGAGTTTGAGCTACTTTCCTTTCCTAAACTCCATTGCCCTGTCTGCTTATGCCCACCCTCTTTGTCTGTACTCTGCTACAATAGGATTTTTTTTCACAAAATGAAATCCCTTTTCTCCCTTTCTTTAAGCTTCCTTACATATGTCGTGCCCATTGCATGCAGGTGGACTTAATTACATTGTTTATTCCCCACTTTCACTGGGCAAGGCATAAGCACATCCCTGGTTTCAGGGTTAATTGTATCTTTTTTAGCTTTCCCATGCATTGGGCCGCAATAGCTCTGGTTGTCTGTCTGTCTCTCTACCATGGCAGGCAAATTGCTGCTTTGCAGTGGTATACACAGGTATAGGTGAGAGCTGATCAGCACTCACTGTGGTGGTGAATCACTGCTTCCAGCCAAATTTGGGGCAGGTAGAAAGCATTTTTTAGAGTTAACACCAAATTTTCAAGAGAAATATTAAGTAGCTGGCAGTAAACTTTTATGAACTTCATTGACCTGAACTGATGCATCTGCTTTACGTCATAGCAACCTCATAAATGGGAAATCCAACCAACATTCAAGTGGTTCCCACATTGCACAGACACTGGGGCTGAGGTGCAGGGGTTTGTTGCACTGGGGCCGTGAGATTCACACTGTGCCTCCTCCCACAGGCCAGCGAGAAGCAGGTCCACTTCGTGGTGTCGCGGCAGACCAGACAGCAGACCCCCGACCTCTTGCAGGAGACCGGCTGGAGTTACAGTGCTGGCAGCTCTTCTCCCGCTGAGAGAAACAACCCCGGCAAGGTGAGGGCACTCGTGTGGTTTCTCTGCCATCCATGGGACAGGGAAATGGGAGGGCAGCTAGTGTTTCAGGTCTAAGGAGGTTAACTCTGGCTTCTGTGGCCAGAAAAACATGTCTTACTTGGCGATGGAAACACAAAAGCTGTGCTGCTCATTATTTATCCACTGGTTCTGCCCTGACTCTGCCTGGCGTGGGGAGGGAAAGAGAGAGCAATGGGCAGTGGTGGGGCAGGTGCTGATGTGCACACAGTATCCTGGCCACAGCCACAGATCTGACCATCAGTGTGAACCAGCAAGGGACAATGAGCTCCAACGAAAAGAATATTTTTTCTAAAGCTTCTCCATCTGTAGCATAGTCTTCAGACAAAAAGCTTTCACATGCTGGCCTGAAAGATTCTCATAAGCTACTTAAAAATTATGGTCATTATTGGGATGTTATTCATTTGTTAAAATGCCCATGCCCTGACCCAGCTGGCAGTTTGGCAGCAGACAGCAGCTCTGGGCTCCCTGGCTGCTGGGAGAATAAGGACTTTCTGTGGAGCTTTAGACCATGTTTAGAAGCATGTTAGTTCCGCTCTGGCAGTGCCTGGAACTTGCATGGTGGGGGTCTGCAAGGGCTGCCAGTGTGCAGCACAGCTGGACCCAACCCAGCACAGAGCAGCCATCTCACCCAGGTAAGGCTGTGGTTACCAAACTGTCCCCCAGCTGCCCCTCTGTGCCTGCTCAGAGGGCGTGTTTAGTGCATCTAGACTCGCAGTATGCTCTTTGCATAAGGCAGAGAGATGCTGATGCTCAAACATACGAGGTTTTAAGTAGGAACCAACACAGCTAGAGTTTTGAAAATGTGTTTTCTGATCTTACTCAGTGATATTCTTTCCACTTTAGAGCAAGGCATGTCCTTGCAGGAAGAACTGAATTTATTTCACTAAATTTGAAGTCACATGTCTGGTTAATTTACATTAATCACCCTGAGTGTCATCACTTATGCAAACCCATGCAAGCCTGACCCTAGCCACTGGTGCCAGGGGTGTATCAGGGAGGTGAGCAGGCAGGGCTTAAATTCATCCTGCTTGATGGATAGGCAGTTGTGTCCTTAAAGGGACCTCTGGACCAAATATCAGGCACACAGCTGTCAGCCAGGAGGCAAGTCTAGCTCTGGATATTACAAATTTTAAAATATACCCATTTTTGCAGGTCTTTTAAAACTACATTATTCAGTGGTTTTGTGTGTTAAAAATACTAGTATATATTTACCTATTTTTAGTTTTCCTTTTCCACAAAGTCACAATCACAGCTCTTGCTATGAGGTAGGATCAGATTAGCAGGAGTTAAAGCAGAAAGCAGTCAGTGTTCAGTAGCTACTACCAAGTAGCAAGTAGTGCCCAAATAATCATGCATCTACAAGGCATTGCTTTCTAATGAAGCAATTATTTCCTTAGGAAGATACGTGTAGGACAGAATTAGCTTGTGCTGCTACTGTATGCTTCCTAGGGAAGATCCAAGCACCTGCTTAGTCTGCCATGTTGGTCTTAGTAATTAATTGATACCACATGAGATTATTTGGGAGCAGGACTTGTCTCTCTCTGCCCTGAGATCCTCCTTTTCTCTTCCTGTACCAAGACGTATTGGATGGGAGCTCTTGGTAAGTCCAACAATATTTTGGGTAGCTGTGAGATAGAAGGCGCAATGTTGGCTTTATAACAGTCCTTTAAAGACTAAAGAGTTAAGTGCTATAGATATGAATGAATCATCTCTTGCTGGATAGGCCACAGATTTTAGGGGGATTTCCACAGGAGATGAGTACTGCCTATGCACATGAGTAGGTGTACTGCTGTGGGCAGTGCCACCATTTGGGAACTTTCCAGGGAAGATCATAGCCAAAAAAAAAGAAAATTCTGAACTGTTTGTACCTTCCTTTAGCTTTGTGTGTATGTAGTAGAGGGCTTCTATCGGAGAAAATGGTCTGACAATAGATCAGGAGTTCAGTACAGCTAGTAGACACAATGAGCTTCAGGCACTGTAGACATTTGTTCTGATACAAACATTACTGGAGTTACCCTTTTATAGGGCATGACTGTGACAGTTTAAATATTTCATGATATTTTGCTGAAGGCTTAACTGAACATAATTTGCAATTTAAGATCTTTAAACTGGCTTTGAAAGATTAAAAAAATATTATTTACTTTAAATAGGCATTAGTGCAGGAGTAATGTTTGCAAGCCTAGGGCCTGTACAGTGTCCTAATACAGTGCATGCTCCTGCCCAAAATCAAGGTAATGCTTGTTGGCTGGACTTCACTCTCAGGGGAGTCTCCTATCAGTGTGTGGTTTGATGAGTCTGCTACCCACTGCCATCAGTGGGATTGCTTTACTATGTGTGATTAATAGAGGATTGCTAGCTGCCTTGGATTCTGGTTAATTTTAAGGTGTTTTTTGTCCCCGGAGCTTACTGTAGAAGGTGATATTAGACAGTCAGGAATGCTCTCTTTGAGGGAAACTGCTCTTGCTGTAGAGCATGTGTGCATACATGAGCTGAAATCCATTCTTAACCCTTGTCTGTATTCAGCATCAAGAATAAACTCTAGCTTCCAGCAGCTGTCTGGCTCGTGCAGTGGCTCAGGAACCACTTTGGGCCAAGCTGTTGTCCTCAGGACAGCCAACCTCCATCTGCACAGCATGAGGAGGTGCCTCTCTTTCAGGCCAGTGGTAACCAGCCAGCTTGCCCACAAGGCTCTGGATAAGAGGAGGATGATCTCTTGTGATGATGATGTGAAGGATGTCCTTCTCTGGTGGCCATGCCAGGTGTATGGTGTGCCAAGAGATTGGTCCTGCCCAGGATCTCATGGATCTGTTTTCCTCTGTACAGAGATTGGGGAAGCACAGCCCAAACTGTTCTGGCTGCTGCCTGGATTCAGAAAAGAGATGTCACAAACACTTTCTTGTGCAGCTGAGGTTGCGAAGCCAGGCTGTAACACATAAACAGGCCCGATTCAATTCCTTTGAAGTCAGTGGGAGCTTTGCCATTAATTAAATAACACTTGTTTTTAATTGAAATTGTTTTCTTACTTCTTTCGAATTAATTGCCTAATATTCAAAGCAAAGAAAATGTTGCTGGAACAGGCAATGTTTGCTGACCATATGAGCAGGTTAACCTTCAGGTGAAGTACATTTTCCAAACAGATGCAGCGATGTTTTTTGCCTGCAAGACACGTGTCATTGCTTTGATGTTGTGATAATCAGCTGTAAATATTTATTTTCCAGTAAATATACAGAAAAGGAGGAAAAAAATAAAAAAAGGAGGAGATGAACTGTTATGTTTTTCTTCTCCTGACCTCCAAGGTCACTTCAAAATGACAGAGAAGGACAATTGTTTAGAAGAGAATGCACTGAAATGCAGTCACTGATAAACACTGCCTTTTAACTGGTTTACTTGCTATCGATTATACCTCCAAGAAAGTTCTACGTGTGTTTACTAAAAAAGGCTTTACTTTCCTTTCATCACTGCCTTTGTCTCAGTCAAGTCACCCCAAATCCTTTCTGTCTGCAGCCATGTAAAAAATGACATGGGAAAGAGTATCTTCAAAGGAAAACTGGTCCTTTGTGGTTCAGCATACAAGTACTGGTACTTCTATAATTCTTAACTGAAATGCAACACGACAATTTGTTCCCAAGCACTACTTTGAAATCTTTCTCTCTGTGCTGATTCCTCAAAAAACTGTGATAAACCAGCTCTAATGTTTTTGTTGTCTAAGACTGGATGTATGCTGCGTAAGTAACAGGACTGCTCTCTCGCTCAGAGCACAAATAGAATCCAAATTTCATATTTTGCTACAAAATTTCAGATTGTGATTTGTGAAAATTGGTAGTGCCCCTATCCCACATGTTTCAGTGAGTGGCCTCTTCCCGATGGAAAGTTATTGCTTTTCAAGGCAAAAAGGATATTTTTGCAAAACATAGATGAGACGTTAAGTTTAATTTGCATAAAGATAGAACTACTATGTTTAAAATATTTACACCTTAAAGCCAAAGATGAAAGGTTAAAATTATCTTGATCAGAATGTAAGATTTATCTGGAACAGAACATTTTCTGAAGGTTTTAAAATCTTCAGAAGTTCCTAGGTTTGTTTGCAAGCCGTAAGCCAAATTATTCTGATATAGTGCCTGTGTTCTGCATGGACCAGGTCTAATATGTCCAAACTATGCTGTCTGGTTTCCTCCCAGAGACTGAGAGAATTCCTCTTTCCACTGAGCTCTTTGCCTTTTTGTTTCTGGAGCTCTGTAGCAGCTACTGTTCATCTGCTGAAGCAAGGAGAAATCCTTTGCTGAAGGTCCTTTTGCTAGAAGGTCCTGTGTTTTGTTGATAACATTGCATCAAAGAAATCTTGATGTGGAGTTAGTTCCACCAAACATCCCTCCAAAAAAAACCACAAAGCAAAGACATAGTCTGCCCTACTCCCATAAAAATGTTCATACCGTAATCTTCCTTTGTCCATCATTGTCACACAGGGAGACCTTGTGGATTCATCTGCTCCATTTTCCATGCTGCTTGCCCAGGAACCAGTGTAAAATGTCTTTGTGAGATGTCAGATTTCTAGGAAGAGATTAATGTGGCTTTAAATGAGTTTTATGGATTACTTTTGCATATTACAAATGTGAGGTCACATTTGTGAATAAGAGTCTTTTAAATCTGCATTTGAAATGTATTTAGAAATGTGCTATTATATATGAGCTTGGAGTGGATGATGCTCTTCCTGCAAGAGGGGCTGGGATTGTCAGGAGTTGATGTCAGGAGCACTGCTTATGAAATCCTTTAAGAAAGCAAAGCAATTAACATTTAAATCCAGATTTTATTTGCGTTTTGAACTCTTCTGTAAGAACTGAGTGCATGGTAAACATGACATTCAGTTCACAGGTTTTGTTGAAACTTGCGTTGCAGTGGTCCCCATCCTGAGCGCAGCTGTGGGTTTGTTTCACCCTCACTGGTGCACTAGTTATTGCATGAGCAGCTGTGTGTATTTAACTTTTCCTGTTCAGGGGTAGAAATAGAAGGACGACTCTCCTGAAAAGAAGGATGACCTTTCAAGCATAAGCACTAAGAGCACCCTGGAAACTGCTGGCTGTTCACTGTAAATGTCCTCCTCTTTTCCTGAACAGAAACACTTATTCTTCAAGAGCATTTCCACCCATAACTTACACAGAAACACAGATATCTGGAAGATCAAATGACATATGTCTCTTCTAATATGTCCCCAATGGTTTAATTCCTCAAACCCAAAAGGACTATTTCTCACTAACTATACAGATGATGCTCAGACTGCAAGCAGCAAGATAAGAAGCACAACCTGATAGTCAGAGAGATGATGACCACTAGTGATATTATTATCAAGAACTTTTGTTTTTCTTTTAAAATCAAATTGCTTATTTACATTTCAAGGACCTGATTCTATTAGCCTTAGCACTAAAACAACTGGTTTTTGTGGGAGCAGTGCCTAACTTTAACTATTAAAACACAGTTATCTTGCTGGTAGCTCTGACTGCAGATGCTTAAGCCCCCAAGGGAGTCCTGCCTCCCATCAGGCCAGGTGGCTGGGAAGGGTTTGGTGTTACTTCCATGAATATTTATTTTGATAGAAAATGCCAAAGCTGCCCATGCAATTTGTTGTTGCTATTTTCTCCATCACAGAGCACTCTTCACACTGTCACCTGTCATGAGAAGGTGGTGGCTGTCCGGAAAGATAACACAGAATCGCTGGGGATGACGGTGGCAGGTGGAGCATCTAACCGGGAATGGGATTTGCCTATCTATGTGATAAGTGTGGAACCCGGAGGAGTGATCAGCAGAGACAGCAGGATAAAAACAGGTAAAAAGATGGGATTTTGAAAACCTACTTTAAATTGAGAGCTTCCTTTGAAAACTGAGGGATAGTGAAAGAGCTTCACATTTCTGAAGACATCTTCAGCAATCCTATAGATTTTGGGATGTGTCAGATTAGAGGGTCTCAAGTCAGCTGCCAGAAAAGGGATAATATGCAGCAGTAATCATCTCTGTGAAGTAGGCTGTAGGAATATTCTGGTAGGAAACAAAAAGATAAATAGCTTTTCAGAGGAAAATTAGCTTGCACCACCATCTCCTAAATCTTGATACATTCATTGTGCGACCTTAATGTGCTTTTTAAGTCATTTTTTGTGCTTATTTGTCATTGCATTCATAAATTTGAATGAAATATACAGGAGCAAAATCCCCATTATATGTGAAGCCACATTAGTGCTTATGGCTCAACATCATGTCTGGAAACATTGGCTTCCTAACCCCATTTAGCTACTGATGTAACAGTGATAAAGCTAATAGTCCCTTCTGCATGAATAAGCTTTTAGAGCAAGATGAGGAACATTTTTTATCAGTTGGTTTCGTGGAAATAGCTGGGCAGCAGAGGAAAGATGAAACACACAGGTTTCAGGATGTTGTATCTTCAAGAACCAAGTCCCTCAGTAGCATGCATCCAGCAATGGCACAGCTCACTTACCCTTCATCCCCTATGTTCTCCTTCAGTCCAGTCACTGCCTGGAAGCTGGAGGGAAAACCTGAGTTTGAGGGAAGTGAAGGCACCCAAAAAAGGGGCAGAATTGCTGCAACCCAGTCAGACCCCACAAGCCTGGGTCTCAGTGCCCAGCATTGACACACACTTCTTTGTGTCTGCTCAACAAAACTCATGTGAGAACACGACAACAGGAGCAAAACAGCAGGTGTCCCCTTTCCCCCTGCTGGGAAATGACTGCCTCTCAGTGGGATACACTTTCCAGAAAAATATTCATCATAAGGCAGCATGGAAAACTCTGCCTAGTTAATTTGATAAAATTAGAAACAAATGAATATGTGATGTTATAATAGTGCCATAGGCCTGTGATTTAGAGCAGCTCTTAGGCTGTTGTCCTTCTCACTGGGGGCATGCCATAAGAAGAGGTTAATGTTCATAGTGCAGTGCCTGGACTGCCAGTGATACATCCCTGCTTGGAGAAGCATCCAGGCCAAGCACAGAGGGCACTCAGGAAAGCCTTGGCATGGGAGCCTGCTATGAAGGGTAGCAGAGCACTTGGCACTACGGCTGCTTGCATGACATCAGTGAAGTCTTTATTGTTCTTCCTCTAGTAATTGAGGTCATCTTTGCAATCTTCTCTGTAACTGATGTGCCTATATTATAAATAAGGCATACAGATAGATGGTTTGGCTTGCAGCCATTCAAACAGGCATCAATATGAAAATAATAACATGTCATTCCACAAAAAAAACTAGGAAGAGCCAGTTGGACAGGCAGTCCTCAACTAAGGGAGAACTGGGAGAAAAAACATCATTGAGCTGTCGGGTTTCAAGCTTAGGTTGAATACAAATGTTGTTAGCTGGAAGTGGACTCCAGAGACCTGGACCAGTACTAGGCACCGGTACCAAAGCTTGGTACAGCAGGACTCCAGCTGTTTGTTTAGCTCCAGATGTAGGACAGGATGTGAAAAGAAACCAGGACAAATCCTCTGTCCAGCCATGCAAAGTTTCTGTGTACAGGAATCGAGACCCTTCCCTCATGCCTGTGGCATGTGTACTAGCATACTCTTCACAGCCATGTTAAACAGCGGGATTAACAAAAAGCCTCATCCGGCAGCCAGTTCTGGCCATGGATTTGACTCACTTGTTTGTGGAGGTGGGAGGGGATCCTGGAAACACTTGCAGGGTTTTTTATCATCCATTTTATCGGTCTCAGGTGACATCCTCCTGAACGTGAATGGCATTGATCTGACGGGAGTTAGCCGGAGTGAGGCTGTCGCCCTACTGAAGAACACCAACTCCTCAGTGGTGCTCAAAGCCCTGGAGATGAGAGCATGTGAAGCCCAGGAGGAGCGGGGTCACCTTCCACCCCCTGAAGAGACACAGGTGACCTCCGAGAGCAGCGAGTGGTCACCATCCTGGGTGATGTGGCTGGGGCTGCCACGGTAAGTCCACAGATTGCAACCTCTTGCTGAGGGGGAGTGGGAGGAAAGATTTGTATTTTCTGGCAATTCTTTCTTTTGGCTTGATTCATTGCACTGACATCTTAATTAAATCCAGGCTCTGTCACTGACTTGACTGTAAATACCTCCCTTTTGTTAATGGGTACATGTACATGGCAAAATTGACATGCAGTTCCTCTTGCAAGGGAGGATAGGATACTGAATTGTTTCAGTCTTGTAAACATATCTGGCACTTAGGGAGTGAAAGGAAAATCTTGGAGGGATACAGGAGCTTGCTGAACTGGAGCTCAACCACCCTGCAGAAGGCAGAGATACACCTCCTGCAACACTCAAGCTGCACAGCCTTTCTCCTTAGCCAAATCCAGCTGAATTGTTTGACTTTACCCAGATGTTGCAAAGTTTGTGCAGTTGGCCAGTATCTCCAAATCACCTCTTTTAACCCCACCCCCGCCTGAAAGACGTCCATTTGTCATATACAGGAAGCAGCTGTGTTGTCATTTCAGCAAGGGTAGTAAGAGCCACATCGCCTGTCTCTAAGTTCTCAGTGTGCATGGTGTAATACCTAGAGCTTCTGCGACATTCCAGAAAGTAAGAAATGAGGAACACATTGGAAATCTGAATATGCAAAGCTGGGATCACAGAGCTGAAACTGATACTCAGTTTTAAGGAAGGATTTATCTTTTAAGATCCCCTTGACTGTACTCCTAACTCTAGCAGCAGTTCAGTGTCTCTCTTTTACAGGAGGGCAGGAAAAAACAGTCTGCAGAACAGGTGGGCTTTTCTCTAGGCATTGTTTCAGGACTCCTCTTCATTTCGTACTCTAGCATAACAGGTTTCCCTCTTTCTAGCTGGAGCCATTTTGAGCTCATTCACCTTGCAGCAAGGTCTGCTGTGAGGGCCAGATATTTTTCAGGGGTTGATCTGCTGCTGCTGACTGTATAATGTGCTGAAGCACTGCGAGAGCAGAAGGCAGGCTGTGTGTCTGCCACCCACAGGCAAAATGTTCCTCCTCCAGTGGAGAGGACTACATCTTTATACCTGTGAAAGAAAAGCAGTAAAAAGAAAATGCAATTAATGGAAGCTCTTTAACTCGCTATCCTAGGGAATGGTAAATTTTCCTCACTCAGTCTCTCTGAAGACAGGCAGGCCCAGGGACATCCTCATTCCTGCTAACTTCTTCTGCACTCCTGAGCTTGACCAGCACCACAGTGAATGTACTAGAGCATGGGCAATGCTCTCAGTGAAGAGACAGCCACAGACTAGAGGTCTTACAGATGCTGCAATCTGCAGTGCTGAGTCTTGCTTTCTATCACCATCCATTGCTAGATGGACTGAAACAATCACGCCCTGCCTATGTCACCTTCATTGGGCAGTGCTGAAAACCTGAACTGCCTGGTCATCATCTACTCACAGCTGCCTGAAGTTCCCACTACCATAGCAAGGTAGAGGACATGAAGGACTGAGCTCCATGGTACTGCAGGCTTGCACCCAGAGTTCACATCAGTCAGTTCCGCTTTGCAGTTTGGCAATAAAATGGGTTTTCCCATTTTAGGAACAGTTTCTGAGCTCACTTTAGCCTTCCTCCTCTGAAGGCTGCATGTGTGAAGGCATTCCAACTCTTTTTGTCTGAAGGAAAATCAGCCCCAGTGTCAGCAAGGCTGAAGACAAGAGTTCATTGTAACTCTATCCCCAGCTGTGAGGCCGTGCACAGAGCACAGCATGGCCCTTCTCCTTCAAAGAGACATGGGGACATTGGTATGCTGAGTGGGGACACTGCTCTGAACATCAGACCAGTGCCTGGGACAGGGACCAATGCACATCAGATGGGACAGTAACAAAGGTGCTCTGTTTTCTTATTAGTAGCTGATTGGCTGAATGGGTGCACAGGAGGATCAGGTTTGGGCTTGCTCCCTAGATATTAATAGACCCTTCAGCCTTCCCCAGCATAAGTGTGCTCACCCACTTACCACTCTGCTTCTCCAGAGCCCATATGAGTTGTCTGAAAGTCCTTCAACAAGTTCTCTCACAAAGATGTGTATCATGTTAACTCATTGTGCTCCAGGTTGAACATTTAGACTTTCTCTGGCTTTCAGTTTGCTCTTGGCAAGGATCACATCTCACTAGATCCCAAGATATTGTCAGCAGTCTCATGACATTTTCCAGGCTATTAGAGAAAATTATACTCTGTCTAAATACATATCTGACAGGTCAGTCTTGGAAACAGTGCCTGAAGTGCAGTTACGGAACAAAATGTTGAAGAATCTCCTACTTTAATTAAAACTATTTACTTGAAGGACTGCTCCAAGACATGAGAGTAGAATGTTTGGTACAGCTAATGGAAAGGTAGAAATATCAAAATCATGATTGTGCAGGATCATGAAATGTACTTGGGCAGGAAGTGGCACACCTATGTAAGGCAAACTGAACATATAGATAAAGGCAGTAAAACTGGTAGGCCAGGAAAAGGCATGGTTTTAAAAAGAGGAGGCTGGATAGTAGATTATTTAAATTCTTGTGAGAAGGGAAAGATGTGGCTCAAGACAAGCCCTATCTGTTCACAGCAAGCAAGGTGGGGTGCTCAGAGGCAGCTACATCACACAACTTAGAGTGGGATGTTCAAGCTCAGGAAACTGAGGGGACAGTAGTGTCTTTCCTTCTTTGTTCCAAATCCATGAAATTTTGAGGAAAATCCTGTGAATGGTAGCATAAAATGTGCTGAGTTGAACTAACGCTACAGCATGTCTACAGATTTCTGTCCATGACCAGTGAAGTAGAAAACAGGCTAATATTAATAATAGTTACATGATTTACTGTAAATGCCTGATTTTTCCATACTAGAAAAGAACTCTTTCTTTCCTAGGGACTGCATGCATATTACAGAGATGGGCACAGACAAAAGACATAAATATTGAGACTTAGGGAATTATATAATTTTTCTGGATGATGTTGACAGAAGCAGAATCAGACAAGTTATCTGATCCCTTGCACTGGAACTCAAAGACTTGGAAAAGCCAGCTTGTTCATTTAATATATCTCACTTATATTTTATCCTTTTCTTGAGAGATCTTAGAATTTTCTTACTTTTGTGTGGGTTAATAGTACATAAACAGCGCCTCTGTTCTTTCTGTAGTACAATCCAATATGTGGTGGTTATAAAATACGTGCACATGTGCATCTGACATGTGTCAAAACTTGGCCCGCACGCAAGTGGAGGGGCTGCGGGCTGGGCGGCGGGAGAAAACAGTGATGCAGGGCCTTAAGCATTCTCGCCTAAAGACTTATTTCAGGGTAGCTAATTTAATTGTTTGTTGTTTAGGGAGACAGAACTCCTTTATTGGTAGAGGGACATGTTGTTGTGAAGCATGCACAAAGGAAATAACAGGGAACAGCTGGCAAAAAGCATTTCCCCAGCTCTGTGATGCTGCTTCTGCCCTTGCTTTTTTCCCCACTCTACTCACATTTTCTTCCCTCAGCTAGTACTCTAGAATACTTTTTAGATCATCCTGTCATAACATTTACAAACGTTAGTACTTCACACAAGTACTTTTCTTCATCTGTAAAGAGAGATGAGAAGGAGACTAGGTGGCCTAAGTCATTCTGCAAACCTGGGGTAGAACAAGATGGAAAACATGAAATTAGGACAGAAACACTTCCAAAGTAACTCAGTCCGGGCTGGTGGAAGCAATTCTCAAATTGTATTTACTTGGCTGCCATCTGTGTACTGTAATGGGGAGGGAGGAGGGAGTTATCCTTTCCATAGCTGTTATTCCTGAAATCCTCCTGCAGTTTGCTGGTTTTCATTCCTGGAGCATAAGGATACTTGTACTTTATGAAAATCAGAAGGGAATTGTATATTTAACTACTTAAAAACAGGCACTTTTAAATTCTTCATGCATCAGTAACTCATCCTTAGCTGTAGTATTGCTTAGGATAGGACCCTGTGGGTAGACACTGTATATCCCCAAATCTTGTTATCTGAGGCAGGTTCACACATAAATTATTCCTTATCCTCATCTTCTGGAGTATTTAGCAATAAAAGCAGAAGACCGTGAGCTGCTCTTTTCCAAGGAGATGGGTCTCCTTAGACTGGTTGTTTAGTGGGTTACGGCAGTTTGACTGGGTCAAAACACCCAGACTAGGGCTTTGATTATCACAGAAATACAAGCTACTCAAACACACTAAGCCTCTTCATATGATTGTATTTTTTCTTGGTGGTACTTTGTAGCTTGTCTTCATGATTAAACAGCCCTAAAAGAATGGAGTCCCTTTGGGCTGCTCTCTGCTTAGGCACTGAACTGTTTGGAGAAAGCAGTACCTGCATTACATACAGCTCAGCTTTGCCTGACAGAATCCTTTTCACAGTTGTGACAGTGCTGACAAACAGATGGATGATGCACTGCCATGCTTATACCTCTATCCCATAGGATGGAGATAAGAAAATGTCAAGTTAAAGGCATAAACACATCCTAGACTTTCCTATTCTTTCAAAAGTCAGTCTCTAGCCATGGCTGTTGTGATGGGTTGGACCTGCCTGCACCAACACCCACAGCAGGGTGAGTGAAAAGGGGAAGAGTGAGTAAATTCATTGGTCAAGACAGGGAAATCCCTCACTTATTATTGCCGTGGCCAAAACAGACTTGGCTTTCAGGACTGAAAACATTTAATTACCAATTTGGGTATTGGGAACCAAAGAAGACAAGCTTGTAAATGCTTGTGAAAAGGGAGTTTCCCAAACTGACCATCACACCAGCACCTCTTCTCCTGACTTCGATGTCTCCACTGCCTTCTTGTCCGCAGGTTACACCTAGTCCCTTTGGTGAGGCAAAAGGCAGCACAGGGGCCTGGAGTCACAACAGAGTGGTTGCTCTCTGCTGTTCCTTGGTTTCCATGAGTTTGCTCTGGCAGAGAGAACAAGGCCAAAGCTATTATGCTGTGTCTATTTTACTTAAATTTATCATACATATTGACAGCAAATATGTATTTATGCTTTCTGCACTGATGGAGATCATGCAACTAATAACCTTATAGACTGCATGTATAGAATGCACATAAGGCATGTTTGGCTTCACCGCCTTTTATCCTCATGTCTTTACCTGCTTGCCTACTACTTTTCTATGGCATTAGGTTTTAGCTGATTACCTTTCAATGTCAGGAATGTGCTCCTTAAGGCAGTGAGTGTAGCACTGGGCAGCAGAGACCTCTGCCCCAAAATCAACACTGAATTATAACAGTAATGTCTGAATCCTGGCACTGTTTGGTCATGACCTTGATAAGTACCATTAAACATAGAGGATTTAAGTGATTTTGCACGTTGAAGAAGTCTACAGATGGTAAAGTAATAATGCCTGGCTGCTGAGGAAGAAGCAAATGTCACCTGTTTCGTACATTAGCAACCAGTGAATTCTTGTGCAAATATTACATACGTACCATCCTGGAAGCAGGTGAATATTTGTAGGCCCTGGGGAACTAATCTAGTATTACTGGTGTGAAAGACAGCAAATGCACTATATAAAACATAATTTTAAAAACGCTAGGCATACCAGTCTTTAAGATAAAGGCTATTTATCCTCCTATAGAAGTGTCACGTGCTTCTTAGAAACCTAAAGACTTTGAATAGCACTTGTAATAGTTGCCTGCTGTAGGTCAGCCTACATTTTAATATTTGGAGTAGCAAATATATTTTCAGTCATTCAGTAATTTCAGTCATTTCTGGGGACACCACTAATGCTAAGCTGGTCAAGTACTATGGGCAGAAATTTCTATCACTTACTCTCCAACAAATGGAATTAATTTGTTTTAAAAAAAAAACACCCAGAAATTAATGTACTCGGAGCATTAGGCAACATTTAGGTCTAATAACACTATACTTGTTTTCCCCTATTCCCCTGGTTTTGGAACCTAAGCTTTGATGAGCGTAACATACAGTATCATAAAATACATTCAAAAGATAAATGGAGGGAGAAGCAGATTTCAGTCCTCTTACTACAGAATCTTATGTTAATCATTACAGTAAGGACAAGCTATCTTCTTGACAGCAGACTCAAAACACTGAGTACTCCAAAGCACTGACTCACATGGCTAAGTTTCTCTCATCTTCCATGCTGTGACTTATCAGATTACTTAACAAGAAAAGCTTAGGATCCCTAATTCCACCAATACCTGTCTTTGTGTCATCTGTCATTTTTGTAGTTCATTCCATTGGCCTTAAAATTATTTGACTTTGACATGCACCACAGTATTAAGTGCCTGAGCACTTTGACATAATTAATCACATACAGGCTCGTATCTGGAAGATAAACAAGTCATTGGGCTGTACAAGGTAGAAGAAATACAGGTTTTTGAATTGCTGATTTACGAACATTAAATCCAGGCTCAAGTGCTTTTCTCCCTCATATCAATTAGATAATTTTAAAAGATTTCTGCCCTATAAAAAAAAACGTATTTAATACTTAATCCCAAGACTATCTACTAATTTTACTTTTGGGATAACTCGTTATCTGGTTGTAACAGGAAAGCAATACTACAGAAACAGAAATGTAAGTGCTTAATACAGTGAAAATATGGCACTACTTTAACTCTTAAAAACACTCTGTGGGTGCATGAAAAGGCAGATTTATTATTAATGGTTCATCAGAATCTAAAGTTAACTATAAGACATTTAATGAAACTGGTTTATTTCAGGTATTTGTACAGCTGCAAAGAAATTGTATTACGAAGAAATACATCTGGAAGTCTTGGCTTCAGCATCGTAGGAGGTTATGAAGAACATACTGGGAACAAACCATTCTTTATCAAATCCATTGTTGGGGGAACACCAGCATATAATGATGGCAGAATTAGGTAATAATTCCTATCTAAAAAAAAAAGTAGCATTTAAGTAAGTTTTTCTTCTGGTTAACTTGTAGGGGTTTTTAAAAAACATGTTTTCATTAAGGTGTGGCAGGGATGGGGGTAGGACTCACTGATACAAAACTAACTCTGGGATATCTGCAAACAGAACATAAATATCCTGAAGTTTAACAGATCTGCCTTCATAGCAGAATGTTTTCAGAAGTCTAGCAATCCACTAGTATGTGAGTTAAAAGAAGAGTCAATTTATCTCTGGGGTGGTACAAAGCATGCCAGCACAGAGGTTTCCCACATATCCAGTTCTAAACAGCCCAACCAACCGCCTTCCCCACAAACACCAATACACTTGAAGAGAGTAAATGCACAATCATGGCACAAACTTCCATCAATTAACAAGGCTTAAAAATACAGTTGTTCAGAACACAGATCATTCTAGTATCTAAAGAGGGCCTACAAAAAAGCTAGAAAGGGACTTCTTACAAGGGTATGTAGTGCTAGGACAACGGACAATGGCTTTAAACTGAAAGTAGGTTTAGACCAGAAAAAATAATTTACATTTTAATTAGAAAGTAATTATTTCATGTGAGACACTGGAACAAGTTTCCCAGAGAAGTTGTGGATGCCTCCTCATTATTCAAGGACAGGTTGGCTGGGGCTTTGAGCAATCTGGTCTCGTAGGTGTCCCTACCCAGAGCCAAGGGGGTTGGAATCTTTGAAGTCCCTTCAACTGCAGCCCTTCTATGATTCTGTGATGATGAATGAACATCAGAAGAACAATATAATTTTTGCTTTCAAATATGTCTAATTAATTACAAATTTGTAAGAAACTCAAACAATTGAATTTTCACCTGCATTATTCCCTTATTCATGAACAGTAGTCAGCCAGAGAAGGAACCATTTCTACCCCTTGCCCCAGCTTAAAGATGTGCTTTGGCATTTGAAAATATTTAAGATAAGAAGTCACTTTGATTGTTGTCTTGAATTTGTTTTTTCAGGTGCGGAGACATCCTCCTTGCTGTCAATGGCAGGAACACATCAGGAATGATGCATGCCTGCTTGGCAAGGATGCTCAAAGAACTAAAAGGAAAAGTTACTCTCACAATTGTGTCATGGCCTGGCACATTTTTATAAAACAAGTCTTCATGGAGAGTATGACAAGTATCTTAACATGGGGAAAAAATTTTAAAAAGGAACATTAGTCTTGGCTTTTTTGGGGGGTCAAGTATGTATTTATAAAGAAAAGGTTTGTGAAATTTCAACCTGCATGTCAAGAAAAGTCAAGTTTAGGCAAAGCAGTGACACCTGTCAGAAAATCACTTGGAGTGATCCAAGCTACAGACTTAAGTCCTTCTTTCCCTGTGTTCTTAAGGATTTTTTGTTGGTTTTTTTATACATATCTATATATCTATTTAATGCATTATAATAATAATGAAATTTAAGGAGCAACAGCTTCTGCGCACCCACTTTATTTTGATTTACAAAAAGAAAACCTCAAATAACTTATGGAAATATTTCTTGCAATTTTTCTAGTTGCAATAATCAGGTGAAGGTTTTTATCCAACACATTAATAGCACTTTGATTATGTGTACCTTTTCATGGTCAGCATGAAGCTGGTATTTTCAAGACTTTCAAGTACTGTTTGTTAGTCTGTAAAACTGTGAATGAAATTTCTAAAGTAATTAAAAATAATTGTAACTGTGTACTTGTACAGACATTATTTTCATCCAAAACCAAATTACCTCATTTCCCTGGTTTGTTCTGATGAATACTATTATTAATACTATTAAATCTGGGACTTTTATATAGAATATTACTTTTAAGAAAGTACACTGCACCCTGCTAATGCCATCAAATGAGTCTTTTGAATAGCAGTAAAATTTTTGTGGGATTGCCTTATCACACTTGATACTGTTCTGCATGAAGTAAATCTAAAAATTATGGTGGTCTTATATGTCTTTTAAAATAGCCCTTTGTCTTTCTCTGCAAATAACTCATGTTCCTCAGTCTTGTTTTTATCTCACAAGCTTGCAGTGGGAAGAGGATATGTTTGTTAATCTTTATCGTGTTAAGGGCAGCTGTTCCCCTAGAACAAAGACTAAAATGAACTCTCTCTTAAGCCACTGAAAAGCAGCAGGGATGCTTATCCAGCTTAATTCATCCTTATGCACCCACACAAACCAGACATAATTACCAAGTGTATCATCACCATGCTCAGTGTTCCATTCAACTAAGAACAATCAGCACCTTTCCCACTTTCCCTAGTTTTTTTTTGCTCCACATTATTACACAGCTTTTGAAGAGCCTGCAGTTCCTGTGTGTCCCTGTAGTAAAAGATGACCTTTCCAAATATGACTCCAAAAGCTTTGCTAAACCCACACTGTTCCAGATGTTGGGTATATAATAAAATGAATGCACACTGTTTCTAAAGTCAGTAAAAGAATGACCTTCCCGTCGGCTTATGAAAAAAGGAGACAATTTAATACAAAGAATTTAAGCCCTACTTATACTGTAAGAGCATAAGCCTCTAGCTGTAAGATGTTTTTTCACTGTTTCTTAAAAGACAAAGTCCAAGAATCTTAACATGAAAAATTCGTTCTTTTATTTTCAAAAAAAACCAAAGTAACCTTTGATTTCAAACTAACAGAACAAGATTAAGAGCAAATTATTATAATTCCCAGAAAAATAACAAGATTTATAGTAATCTATTTCTGGCACTAATATATATGCAAGTAGGCAAAAATCACACAAGCCTATTCCACAGGGGCAGCTTCAGTGTTTTCCTGTTCAGGAGCAGGTTCACCACTGGCTTCTTTTCCTTCTTTGCTTCTTTTGGACTTCTTGTGTTTGTGCCTTCTGTGGCTATCCCCTTCTTCACTGTCATGACGACGTCTGCTGTTACTAATTAGAGAGAAAACATGCCTCAAACACTTGACACTTCAGGCCCTATTTAATTACAAATTACCAAAAAAAAACAGCTTCTGCATTCACATTTTAAAACTGGCATCTGATCCCAACTCAGTTTTTGGATGTCAGTGCACAACTGAATTTTTCTGGGAATGGAACATACATCTATCCATCCTGTACTTTTTGTGGGGAAAATTGAATGATTTTTCACATTTGTAATCCATATTCTAATAGCAATACTTTTAGCAATGTCATGAACCTATTGTCATTCTTTAATAATTTGACATTCTTGTTGACCTCATTTTCTGGACTTAACTTTCATTTCTAACTTAAAATGGATCATGTAGAACAATTTCTATCAGGTGACTCTGAGGATTATTTTACGTACTGGGAATGACTGTTAAGTTGTTCTGTTCATGCTGCTGAATGTCAGCTTCATTCCACCTCTTTCTGACTCACCATTTTTACCCTTCTTTCCCCAATGTCCTAGTTACTGTTCACATACCGACTGTCACATACATCACTCAATACAAGGTTACCCAGGGTCAGTATTGCTTTTTGTCTGTTCACATTTTATATGGCAGACTTGTTCCAAGTAGCACATTCAAGTGTTTACAGTCTTTCCACAAAACTCCTGTTTGTTTGGGGTTCTTTTAAAAGTCTACTTTTTTTTTTTAACTGGACAAGTCTTTCATATCCTATTAAAAAAAGAGAAATCAAACCTTCGAGATGACTTGTGTCGACTCTCTTCTTTCTCTCTGTGTCTCCTGTCTCTGTGTCTGTCTTCTTTCTCTCTACTTGTCCTATGGCGGTCATAGCCCCTCTCTGCATAGTCTCTGTATCTGTAGCGTTCTTCATCACTGATTCACAAAGAAGAGATTTTCAGGACAGTAAGACCAAGGAGTGTAACAATAACAAGCTAAATGACAGGAAAATCTTAATAATGCTTCTGGATGTCTACATGAGTTCCAGTGCTTAAAGGACAATAAAGTTCTTCATGTTATACACTAGACTTGTGCAGTTAATGCAATTTTGAAAGGAAATTGCACTTTAAAAATGAAAGAAAAAAGAACACAACAGTGAAACATTAAGTTTGTATAGGAGTTACCAAGCTGTTAGCTTGACCCTGTATATAACTGGGAAGGAAATACAACCCTACATAAACTTCAGTAATGTTTTCAGATCAGTGCTTGAAACATTCAACACTTAGAAGCACACTATTTGACTATTATACAATTTGGGTAAATTAAAGTTAGATTTTGGTACAGTTATCTATTTCCTTACACCCACTTCAAGAAAAGGAAAAGCTAAGTACAAAGAGTAAAATATGCTAAATATTTTGGCTGCTTTTGAAATTAATTTTTCTTAGTGCTAGTCCTATCTCTACTTGCACTTCTCACTTGGATTGCCATGAAATGCTGCCCTGCCACAATGTTGGTAAAAACCCCTAAATATCATGACAAGATGTCATATATGTCATATATGTCTTGTCCATATTCTTTGGACAAGAATTCAAAGGCTTTACTTAAAAACATTTTTTTATATTTTGACTTGATGAAAAGGGCAGTTCTAAGAGTTTACTGAAATCTAAAAGAAAAAAAAAGATGAGAACACTGTCCATTGTTAGCCAACACCAATCAAATGCTACATTAGCATAGCTCAAAAAGGCATGATCATTTCATCATTTCTCAACTAAGAAAATCCTACCCAGCAGCATTTAACAGTGCAACTTCAATACAAACAAACTTAGTGTAATTATTTATATATCACATTAAGTCTTCTCTACCCGTACTTTGGGAGATCCTTACCTTACCTTAAAGAAAGGCACAATCTAACAGTCTTTCTAAAGTTAAACCAGTAACAATTTAGATACCGTTGACCTAAGAAAAGGCAAGTGTTTTTGTCTCTGCCAACATTCACCATGAAAGAAACTATCTTCCTGAAGTCCCTGCAGCAGCAGAACAGACCAGACACATCATAGGGAGAACAGCTCAACTCCTCGTGTCCTGGAGCAGCGAGAACTGAGATCAAACCCATTTTATCTGCCACAACTTGGATCCTCTGGCCATTTCCCAAGTGAGGATATTACATTAATGATTATTACAGTTATGCATGAAAACTCAGAGTGAGAAAGGGGAACACCTGAAGCAACAGCACTAGTCTTTTTATGAAACCCTGTATGATTACATCATTAGACAAATGTCAGAAATTAGTAATTTAAGACACTGTGGAGAAGCATTAACCGCTCCATAGAAAATTCTGTTTTTCTAAGGGACACAAAAAATATTCACACATCAAAACCAGGAAAACTACAGCTACAAATACAGAACTCAAAATTACGATTTGCCACTGAGTGACACAACTTCATGGATTTAATAATGCATTTATAACCTCAGATCTGAGAGTAAGTTGATTGAATCCTGCAAAGCACATTTGTCATCAAATGGCACAAAAACTCAGGTTAGAAGGCATGAGTGGAGGTCACAAGGACCAAACCCCAGCTAAAGCAGGGCCATCAGTACCAGATGACCAGTACCATGCCCAGACAGCTTCAGGGTATCTTCATGCATGGAGACTCCCCAGCCACTCTGTGCAACTGTATTTTCCTCCCATTTCTGATATTGCTTCCCAAAACTAGTATTTTGATGATCAGTATCTAACTAAAAAGTTAAAATCTGAATATCTACCACTAACTTCTGATAAGCTTGCCATGGGAAATTAGATGGCTACTCGTAGACTTACGGTTTGGTTTCAAAAATGAGATCCAAGGTCCTTAATAGTAACTCACACTCTGCATTTGTTCTGTCACCCATTTATTTTAAAGCAGTCCAGAAAAGGTTAAAAATATTACTGATACTCCCTTTTAAACCTTATTTCGGCAAACTACTAAAGAGCCACGACAGCTTGTAAGTGTGTCTGATGAAAATAAACAACCTCTCTAACTAAAGCAAAATATCAGTTTGCAAGACCAGTGTGTTCAGGAACACTCTAATGCTGCTCAGTGTTTTTGACCTTTATTGCACACCGATCATGGAGTCTTGTTCAGTTTGTTGACCACGGACACCAAATCCTGTAAAGCTGCAAGCCAGCCAGCCAGACCCTCATCTGCTCTTCTGCACGAGATTACTAAATTCCAGGACCTTAGAAACACAGTTGCTGGTTTTTGTGTTTTTTTATTGTTTGGGGGTTTTTTGTTTGTTTATTTTTTTAATTTTTCAAATTGCTGAGGCATAACCACAAAGTAGTAACATATCAGTCAAATTCCAATGTCTACATTGTCACAAAACAAAACAAAAAACAACAAAAAACCTCAAGCAAACAATACAAAGTTCCAACCTTTGCAGAAGGGAAACAGCCCAAAAATAATGGCATCTTCTTAAGGAGGCAGTGAGATGCATTGTAAAAATGTATACTTTTCTCTGAGGATAGCAGAGTAAAAGCAGAACAGAATATAAAGACAGCTGAAAGTTCATTTTTAAACCGCATTTTGGTTATAATAGAATAAGAATAATCCTATTTTCCTATAATTTTAAGAAATGCTGTAGCAAATACACAGGCTATTCATATGGAAAACAACTGCTAAAAGCATTGAAAGCCATAATTTCTAAGCAGTAAAATGCTAAACCTGATGCTTACTACAAACCCCACCAAGACCACTTGATCAAAGTTTAAACAAAGGGAATATAAATAAAAGCTATAAATCTGTGCAGTCTTTAAAATAGTTCACATTCTCTTCCCCAAAGCTCCATTCATTCTATTTTCATAAGTGCACAGAATTGAAAATAAACCTTCTTAAGAAATATTATATCTGCATGTTCTTTCTTAAGCCTCTCCCACCTCTTCTGATTCCCAAATCAACTTATCCTAGTTAAGGGCCTCCCATTTTCTTACACAGCCATGTGGCAACAGCTTTGCTACAGATGGTGGATAATTTAGTCACATAAAAAAGTCGAGGCCTGCTCTTCCCCCTCCTTTACAGATAACTCTGGCAGCAGCACAGAGATTTCTTGAGGCCTGGAAGCTATTAAGGTTCATTTCAAGCACCCTTGAATGACCAGGGCTCTTTCTGGCCTTCAATCAAGCTGTCTGAAAAACAGATGTTTAGATAGATCTTCAGCCTATCTGACTCTGGAATGAAGCACATGCCCACAGGAGAGGACATCACCACACCAGCACACATGGAAAATCCCGCAGCTTGCACCCAGTTTGGGTCTTCAGCTAACAATCATCCTGCAAAAATGTCATCTCTCAACCACAGTAACGTTGATTTTCAGTGCTCTCATTCCCTTCAGCTTAAAACCATTAGTAAAAACAATCTGCCTAATAGCTAACATACATATTCTGCAAAAAATTTAAGCTTAACAGCAAACACTGAGAAAGTGTCAGCTATTTACCCCAAAAAGCTTAGTAGATAACAAGCAGGGGAAATTTAGAAAAATCTGGCTAACCAATAGACCTCTGTTCTATGGAGCCACAGCGAGCTCAACATCAAATGCTTTGTACTTGAGCACATGAACCACGGAACAGTTGCAGCTTCATTTTTAAAGAAATTAGAAAGCTGAATAAAGTTATCTGACATGATTTTCGTCATCTACAT